ACCGCAGGCCGACGCTCTAACCGCTGAGCCAAACCGGCCAGGGCTTCATTGTTTTCTTGTCTTAAAAAAATTTTTTTTTGTCTTGTAAGTGCCTTGTGTTGTAGAGCTGTATTAGGGAGAACTGAAATAAGCTTTAAAAAATTCAGGCTAATCTAGAAGCCACCCACAGGTACTCTACAATAGTTTGCTAAATTGATGAATTCTCCACCCAGCCGGTGTGGCTCTGTGGATTGAGCATCGTCCCGCGGACAAAGAGGTCCCAGCTGGATTCCCGGTCAGGGCACATGCCCGGGTTTCAGGCTCCATCCCTAGTAGGAGGCGTGCAGGAGGCAGCCGATCAATGTTTCTCTCTCTCTCTTCCTCGCTCTCTAAAAATAATCGATAAAAATATATTTAACATAAAATAAATTGATAAATTCCCACAGGTTTATTGGAAACTCGTCTGCCCAAGTGACCCCCTCTGGCCTGTCTCTCCCACCTGTGAAATGGGCGTGGTGGTGTGGTGAGCAGGACAGACTCCAATGACGAGGCCGCCGCCATTTCTAAAATCCGATTCTAGAGAGAGGGTCAGAGAAAATTTGCTCCTGTATGTCTTTGCCCAGCATGGATCCTGACACTTGACAGCAGCATTTAAGGGACCCAAGACCAAAGTGGCTTCTTGTTTCTTAAAGTGACTGGAAACGAAAGAACTGCTCAGAACCGGGGGAGGTTTAGGTCTTACACAGTCACATACATACACACACATTTTAGTTTTTATCTTGGTATTGTGCAGACAGTGAAATGTTTCTTTCTTCATCTTTATCTAAATATAGAGAATATGAAGATTGAGAGTCAAGTTGTCAAAAACTTGGCCTGACTAGCTTGGTTACAGCATTGTCCCAATGCGCCAAGGTTGTGGGTTCAATCCCCTGGTCAGGGCACATACAAGAGTCAACTATTGAATGCAGAAAAAAGTGGAACAACAAATCGATGTTTCTCTCTCTCGCAAATCAGTCAATTAAAAAAACACCCAAACCTTGACGTTTGCACTAGGTTGACATAAAACTGAAACTATGACCTGAATTTAAAATTTTGTGCTAGCCTGGCTGATGTGGCTTAGTGGTTGAGCATCTTCCCATGCACCAAGAGGTCACCAGTTCAATTTCCAGTCAGGGCGCATGCCCAGGTTCTGGGCCCAATCCCCAGTGAGGGGCATGCAGGAGGCGGCCAATTGATGTTCTCTCTCATAAATGTTTCTCTCTTTCTCCCTCTCCCTTCCTCTCTAAAATCAATAAATAATAAAAATATAAAATTTTGTACTAAGTCTCACTAATTTGATTGACTTTAATAGAAAAATTAAGTATAAATAAAATATAATATTGTGGGGGAATTGGGGGCAAAAAGTTTCAGTTGCCTATAAAGTTTGAAAACCAGTGCTGTAAAGAAAGGCAATGTTGCTTGATCTCTCAAGATAAGATGGTGGAAGTTCTAGTCCTGATAAAGTGTATTATTGGAAACAGTCTGGCCAGTGTGGTTCAGTGGTTGAGCATCGACCCATACAACAAGAGGTCACCAGTTTGATTCCTGGTCAGGGCACATGCCCAGGTTGTGGGTCAAATTGCCGGGGGGGTGGGGGGCATGCAAGAGGTGGCCAATTGATGCTCTCTCTCTTCAATGTTTCTCTCTCTCTAAAATCAATAAAGAAAAAAAATTTTTTAAAAGAAAAGGGATGACCCCTGGGTGTGGCTGTGGACAAAGGTTGGGGAATGATCCCAAGGACTGAGTCAAATAAACTGTCAGTTCCAGAAACAGGGACAAACCAAGGGCCTTACTGGTTTAGTGCTTAAGAAAGTGAAAAATGCTTACAAAAAATTGAATTATATTGTGAGAAATTGATTCCCATTAACATCTTAAATCCTTTTTTTTTTAATCCTCACCCGAGGACATTTTTCCATTTTTTGTTCAGATAGAGTGGGAGGGAGAGAGAGAGAGAGAGAGAAACATCGACGTGAAGGGACACATCGAGTGGCTGCCACCCGCACGACCCAACCAGGGCCGGGGACAAACTGCAACCAAGGTACATGCCCTTAGCGGGAACCGAACCCGGGTCTCTCTGGACCGCAGGTCGATGCTCTAACCGCTGAGCCAAACCGGCCAGGGCCATCTTAAATCCTTTTGATTCAGACTTTTGCTTCTGTTCATAAAGGATTAAGTGCTATCACAATTATTACCCTTCTATAGTTACCAACTAGAAAAATGGACATAATATGTGAAACTGCAGTTTTCAGACACTGACAGGCAGCACAGGATTTTGACCCCCAAGAGAAGAAAAACAAAGTCTACAATTGCCCAGTTTACTGTCAGGAGGCCATACCCAGGCCAACACTCAGGAAGGGAGGCAAATAGATTCCATCAGAATGGCTAGAATTTGTGAGGCTAGGAGGGAGCTGCATAAGGAGAGAGCTACAGAGATCTGCAGAGGGGTTCCCTTAAGTCTTTCTTAGTTGGAATATTATTAACCTGCACACGCATGAGAGGTAATTCTTCAAGGCCAGGAAAGAACCACCTGGAGTTCAGACAGGACTGTGAATAGTTTCTACCTGTCAGAGGGGAAAGACCTCATAACATACAGGCATTGGGTAGAATTCTCATAATAATGCCTCAATAGTGGGGCAAAATTAGCCCTAAACTAAAGGTTGCATTAGACCCACCCTGTTACTTGTGATGGGCTATCCTTTTAAGCAAGATCCTTTCGAGTCTTGCTTGAAAGGAGTCAAACTGATCACAAGTAACTTAACTCCATGCAAGAACAGTCCATTGCTATTTAAAGGAATACAACAGAATCCACCAGCCAACAATGTAAATTTTATAGTGCTTGGCATCTAATAAAAAATGATCAAACGTGCAAAGAAGCAGAGAAATAAGACCCATGTCCCCCACCCCCAATAACAACAATAAAAGACTCATCCATAATTAGGAAAGAGAAATCAATCAACAGAGACAGCCCCAGGAATATCAAAGATGATGGAACACTACAGTAGACAGATATTAAACTACTATAAGTATTCTTTTTTTTTTTTCCCTCACTCGAGGACATTTTTTGCATTTATCTTCAGATAGACTGGAAGGGAGAGAGGGAGGAAGAGAGAAAGAAAAACATTGATGTGAGAGAGAGACATTGACTGGTTGCCACCTACACAACCCCAACCAGGGCCGGGGACAAACTGCAACCAAGGCACATGCCCTTAGCGGGAACCTAAACCAGGGACGCTCCGGTCTGCGGGCTGACGCTCCAACCGCTGAGCCAAACCAGCCCGGGCTGTAAGTCTTAGAATATGTTCACATATATAATAAACCAGGGGCAGAGTAGGCCCTATGGGTCAAAGTTGGCCCCTGCCTGTGTTTGTAAACAAAGTTTTATTAGCTGAGCTCATTCATTCATGTACTCATTTATGTGGCAAAGTTGAGTAGTTGTGACAAAGATCACAAAGGGCTGCAGAGCCTAGAATATTTATTATCTGGTTCTTCACACCAAGAGTTTGCTGACACCTGATGTAAAGGAAAACATAAACAGAGGGAGATGGAAGATATATTTAAAAAAATTTTTATTTAAAATAAAAATTCTAAGGATGAGGCATACAATATTTGAAAAGTATAATGGATGGCATTCACATGAAGATGAATCTGATCTAATGTCTGTTTTCAAAGATGCTTATCATCTGGTGGGGCGGGCTGGTGTCTCGGACAACAAACGGTTGTGAAGAAGGGGAGTGTGGCTGAGATTAAAACAGAAACAAAAATTTAGCGGTCTGCAATTCCAAACTCCTGGAATTAAGGTGCATAACAGGTTCAAGTTCCTTTCCAAAGGACTGGTAATAATTCAAGTGCCTTGCCCTGGTGGGTTTAGCTCAGCAGTTACAGCGTCGGCCTGTAGACCGAAGGGTCTCAGGTTTGATTCCCACAAGGGAGGCAACCAATTGACGTGTTCCTCTCACATCAATATTTCTCTCTCCTTCCCTCCCTTTCACTCTATGTAAAAAAAATCAATGAAAAAATATCCTCAGGGGAGGATTAACCGAAAAATAAAAGTAATAAATTGGAGCGCCTTGCCTGGTCCTGAGCGCGGGAGGCAGGCGTGTGGAGTTGGTGGTGCTTCCTATCCCAGTGGCGTGGCTGATGGAAGTGCTGGTTTCAGCTACCTCCATACATGGGCAAGAGGTTCATGGCTAACGTTTATTTCTGTAGTACTTACTATGAGCCAGGCACTATACTAAGGGGATTTTGCTCATTATAGTGCTTAGAACTCCTCCCACCCTCAGTCCTTTCTAAAATGAAGAAACTGAAGCAATGGGTACTTAACTAACTTGGACCGTCGCAAGGCCAGACTCACCCTCTGGACTGCTACACTGGCTCTTTGTAAAGCATCTGTTCTAATGCCTGACAACATACTGCCAAGTTAATACATGAGACAGCTATTAATGGATCTCAGATTTTAATAGGACACTGGAAATCCCTGTGAAAAGTTGGATTTTTTTTTTTAATTAGGGGACAAAAATGACAAAATGGTTAAAGAAAAGAACAAAATTAGATACAGAAATTAAATTTTTCCCCCATATATAGTAAGACTCCATTTGCTCCTTAGGCAACTACATTTATTTAAAAATCTTAACATCTTGTACATACAAACATTCAGCAGTTTTATTTTTCCTGGTTTACTTCCCTTTTGTGCTAACTCCAACTAGTGATGTTATTACTATACATAAGTGGCCCAAATGATGAAGCCGAAACAATGTATGTGACTGAGAGAACTCCTTTCACAAATTCCCATCATCTTATCCTCTTAGCTTGTCAGTAAGTTCTGATGCAAAAAAGTTCTTTCGGCAAGGCAATTATTTATTAGTCATGCAAGCAGAGGCAGACCCCATTATGAGAAGCGCTAGTTCTGTCAGTTTATTGCAGCAAGGAGTATAAAGCATCCTAATTCCTTTATCAATAGACTTTGAGTAACATGACCTAAAGGATAATGTGTAAAGACACAGAACAATGATGTATTATTTCAAAATGTGTATTTAATGGCCATTCCATCAAAATCAAGCAGAATCACATTTCAAAAGTATATATATGTATATATTATTTTAAGGTGCATTTTCAAGTTTTATTCATTTCTTCTTGGAGGCCTGAGCCATTCTTGCAGATATAGTTAACATAGAATGTTCAGAGGTTGACAGCTTCTCATGCACTGAAAGGCAGGACCCTAACAATACTGCATATCTTGGATACATTAGGAATTTCAAAAGCTCTGTGTAATTTCAGAAAATGTAATACCAATCCTGAAAGACATTTTCAACATAAAATTCAGGCACTCTATACTTTGGAATAGCCACAAAGTATTCCAACAAGAGTTAATGCACTTTGTGATTATATTTACTCAAAGATAATTCTCAATGAAAACCTATACTTATTAAATAACATTTTAAATTAGAGCCCATTACATTTTGATAATTACCAGGAGCCATTTGCAGCACTGTGTTGTAGTTAAATAATGCCAACTACTTCCATTAATGATTCCAGTACTCATCTTCATGGTGCGTTTATTTATTTTTTTTACAGAATAACCTCAGTCTCTGATAAGCATCTCCTCTTTTTTTTCCATGCTAATCCCTGAATAAGACTGTCCCTAGCCGACCTTAAAAGTATTCTTGTATTTTCTGCTATAGTTGCTTTCTTAGCATGCAAAACTACAGCAAACAGGAGGCTCCCCAGAGACCAGGAAACATGAGCCAAGGAGCCATCACTGATTCCTAGGCTATTTATTTGCTCAGTCACTGTGTGGCTAAGTCCATGGCTCCACCTGTGTTCCTATAATCTGTGCTGCGAGACTGACCAGTATGGAGCCAAGGGGAAGGATATTCAAACTTGTCACTCCATGTTCCACAAGGCCAAGGCCATCTAGACCTCGTCTGACTTGAGGCAAAACTTGCTGATCTCTGCAGCGTGGTTTTGGGGCTTCCACCTCCTTGTTTGAAGACTGAGGGGTAGAAATGACACTTGCCTACTGAGATGCCATTAACTCCAGATGAACTTCCCAGACTTGAACATAATTTAGCACTGTTAGAATTCAGAACATGGATGGTAATTGTTGCTGTTGAGAAGAAGGTGCTTTTGCTAGGTAATCTGCATTTATGTAGCTAAGAAAATAGAAAGGCCTTCAGAATTTTTGGATTAGTCTGCAAGTAGATTCATCATAATCACCAATGACTAATGTATAAAGATCTAGCTAGAGAAATGAATTTGTGACTTATTTGACTGTAAGTCGTACAGAAGAGAGCACAGTAATTTCCCATAGGAGAATTTGGTATTTCATCATGGGGATCACTGGTAAATTAATTACACTGCTAATGTTTTTTTGGCATACTTGAAGAGACAATTAGCATAAGTAAATCACGAGTGAGATGACAGTTGCTTAATATTTGTTTCTGTTCACCAGATGAGATCTGAGGGTGCAGTTAAGCTTCTGTTTGAGTAGGATGGGGGAAGAAGGGCATAAGGAATGAGTACTTCTTAAGTTTAGTGTCAGCAAATATAATCAGAACCAGTTACTACTACAGTTGATAAACAACGATGTTAAATGCAAAGCAGATAAGACTCATTCAACCTCACCAAGAGGTGACAGATGCTGGGGAACATTAAGGAGATGACTGTTGATGTGGGACATTCATATGAAACCTCAGCCCTCTCTCCTGAGCAGAGAGGATGAGATAGTAAGAATGAATGAAGGTGGATTTCAGTTGAGGTTGCTTTTCATCCTCTCAGCTTCATCTTCCTATGAATATCCTACAACATCTACCTTGTGATCAAGACCCGAGGTTCATGACAGTACAGTTAAGATTACAGTCCCTCTCTGGCGTTTTAGAATGGCCACAGCTTGCTCATGAGTGACACCTTCTAAAGTCTCGCCATTAACAGCTAAAATTTGATCACCTCGCTTCAATTGGCCGTCATCTGCAGCTGCTCCCTGCAAACAAGAAACATTCCAGTTTAACCCAGTGTGAAGCAGTTAACATTCAAATAACATTAATATTATGCTGTGCATATTAAAAAATAACTTTAAAAACTACCAATTAAAGTTATTTTTAGGTAATGTTTTTAAATTGAGAAAAGAAAAATGTAGGCTATGTTATTCGAGTAGTCATTGAAAAGTAACCATAATAATGCACTGTTTAAATAACATACAAGTAGAAATATAATAACATTCATATTTCTTTTAATACAAGTAGGACCTTATTTCAATATTCAGTGCTAAAAGGAATTTTAATATCATATTCATGACTATGTAATATACAAACAAAGGCAGAACTGACTCTGGTGTTTTCTTATTGCTAATACCATCATTGTACATACAGGGTTCCCACTGCATTATTAACCTCTTGGTATTTGGTGATCTGTCAAAAATAAGTGTAGCCTCTAAATGTGTGAGTTGTATGGTATGTGAATTATATGTATGGTATGTGAATTATATCTCAATAAAGCTGCTCTCTATATAAAAACACAAAAGTATAGCATCTCTAAAATTTTGCAATATCATATTCAAGAGTTTCAACTTTATGTATCTTTGATCACCTAAATAGGTTCCTAAAGGACTACTCTCATTACATACCCAGTCATGGTTCTTCAAAATGGCACAAAGCAAGTGAAACTTGGGGCCTTTTTTCATTCTAAAGCTGATCTAAAAATGCCGTGATATTACTAGGAATGTTTTAGATGGGTAAGGAAAGAAAAGGCCTAGAAAATGTCTTATAGGAGGCTTTCCCATCTGTTGGGGAAACTGAAAATCCCTTGAAAAGCCAGTGCCATAGGGCCCTCTAAATGATATGGGGCTACTGGGAAATTAGGGACCACAGGCACCTGGTCCCTAATGGACTCATTCAGAAGCTGAGCTAAGAGGCACTAATGTTCCAGGGACCTGTGTCCACTGGAGGTGGAGGTCCTGGGGGTGGGGGGGCGGATTATTTAGAATTTCAAAACTGTGAAAAGGGTAGAATTCCTGGATAAAGCTGTAATGAAGAATACTCAAAACTAGGCCTATACAGGTGTGTGTGTGTGTGGGGGGGGGGGCGGGAACTCAAATAAAATAACTTGCAACTTCGCTCGAATCTTTTTGCTTTTTCTTTTAAGAAGTGTGTTAACTGCACTAAAGACAGGATTAAACAAGTAACTCTAATGAATACAATCAGAATTATTGGCTAACTGGACTGTATTAAATTGTACATGCTGAGATTTAAAGGCTTCAGTAAACCTCAGCTATTTGTGTAATTTGTTTTTTTAAAAGGCATGCTAAGCTCTTCAAGTCTTCATTAAAAAAATTTTTTTTTCTTTATTGATTTTAGAAAGAGAGAGGAAGGGAGAGGGAGAGAGAGGAAGGGAGAGAGAGAAACATCGATGAGAGAGACCATCTATTGGCCACCTCCTGCATGCCCCCCACTGGGGATCAGGCCCACAACCTGGGCATGTGCCCTGACCCAGAATCGAACTGGCGACCTCTTGGTGCATCAGTCGATGCTCAACCACTGAGCCACACCGGCTGGGCCAAGTTTTCATTTTCAGTAGTGCAAAAAAGGATGGTTTTTCAACTTTCTAGGACTATTGCTATATTTCAAGTATTGCTGTGCTTACTTGATAATTACTGCTAGCCTGCATCTCCCCTCCTATATGATCAGCGTGGTATTTGTGGGCTAAGCAGAGAAGAAATAATTAAATGGTTCACAAATAATTAAATGGTTCCGTCTAGTTCGGAAATGTGGCTTTTGCCCACCTGCTGTGCCCCAGCCCACTCACTTAGCCCTCCCTGTGCTGTGACGAGGCATCATTGTCTGCCTTTCGCCCGTTCTAAGGATTACATGTATGGCACATGGCATTTACTTAGTAATGGTGGTAGTATAATAAAATGAAATTCATGTGATGATCAAACTCATGCTTTTATATTTTACAGGCTCTGAAAGATTGCTCCATAAATTTTCAGGGTTGTGGAAGCCTTTAGGTCCATGTCTTTTTTTTTTTGCTATGGTAAAATCTGGCTGCTGAAGGGACTAAGACCTGAAGTTGGCTTTGATCAAACACCAGAAAGAAAATGGAAGGTCCGGACAGCCTCTGCATCAGATCGACTCAGTCTCGGAAGTCCCATATTCTCACAGAGCCTGTGCTGTTCCATGTTCTAGAGGGGAAACAGAGGCTGATGGGCCACATTAATTTCTTAATTGAGTAATAGAATTACTAAGTGAGGCTTAGGACACCAAAATATAAAAAAAAATAAAGAAAATCACATGAAATCCACACCCTGTGGACATCTAAGATCCAGAAACCTAAAACAACAAGCATTTTTAAGTGTATATGTTCAGTTTTAAAAAACAGGGAAAACATATAGCTATAGTGTCCAGATCTTCACAATTTCTACAGGGAAATGTTTAGCTTAGTGTCAGAAATTTGTTTCAGAAAGACTTTACTATTAAAAAAAAACCTCATTTGCCAGTTTTTGCTTTATTGATTCTCTTCAGAAAACTTTAATTTGGATATATTGGTTCATTCTTTTTTTTTTTTATCCTCATCCGAGGACATTTTTCCATTTTTTGTACAGACAGAGTGGGAGGGAGAGAGAGGAAGAGAGAGAGAGAGGGAAACATCGATGTGAAAGGGACACATCGAGTGGCTGCCACCCGCACGACCAACCAGGGCCGGGGACAAACTGCAACCGAGGTACGTGCCCTTAGCGGGAACCGAACCCGGGTCTCTCGGGACCGCAGGTGGACGCTCTAACCGCTGAGCCAAACCGGCCAGGGCTATATTGGTTCATTCTAACAAAAAAAGAAAAAGCCATCAAATGAAATCTTATAGCAAACTCTATGGAGGTATCTTAATAATAATAATAACAATTTGTGTTGGAATATTCTTTTTTTTAATTAATTAATTTATCCTCACCAGAGGACTTTTACATTTATATTCAGATAGAGTGGGAGGGAGAGAAGGGAGAGAGAAACATTGATGTGATGTGAGAGAGACACATTGACTGGTTGCCACCCACATGACCCCAATAGGGGCCGGGGACGAACCGCCCCCGAGGTACGTGCCCTTAGTGGGAACTGAACCCGGGACTCTCCAGTCTGCGGGCTGACGCTCTAACCACTGAGCCAAACCGGCCAGGGCTGTTGGAATATTCTTAAAAAAAAATTTTTTTTTCTTTATTGACTTTAGAGAGAGAGAGAGTAAAGGAGAGTGAGTGAGAGAGAGAGAGAGAGAGAGAGAGAGAGAGAGATAGAAACATTGATTGGCCACCTCCTGCATGTCCCCCACTGGGGATCATGCCCACAACCTGGGCATGTTCCCTGACTAGGAATCGAACCTGAGACCTCATGGTGCATGGGTCGATGCACCCCGGCCGGGCTCATTGGGATAGTCTCTTACTGAGACTGGCTGAACTAAGTAGGTTATTAGCTAAGGCTTTAGAACTTTTTCTTTTTTTCAGCTGAGAGGTTTTCATTTTCAGGTGTGCCTCACTTTACAAAGAAAGGTCCGCATCTTAAAAAATAAAACATACCCAGGGTATTCAATATTTACTATGTTACAACTTATGCAGTGTTTCCTGAATGAGCACTTCCAATGGGGACCTTTGGAGTGATCATTTTGTGTGAGCTCTGTCCATTCATTCCCACTACTCTGTCCAACTGTGATTTTATGGTTGTTTCTTTTAAAAAATCCACCAGCAATGCATGGCCATTTCACTCTCAGCCGTATGTTCTGGTGACCCTTCTAAAGCTGCCTGGCTCCAGCCCCACAGTCTGTGTGCCCGTGTAGACAGGTGCAGATGGTGCAGCTGCTGAACTCTGAGCCTCGGGTCAAAAGGCCTTAGAAGCTAACCAGTCCTCTCTCTGGACCGCAGGTGATCGACCTACAGTTATTAAGTGAGCTGGTGATGACAACATTCTGGAGGGGCTTTCGGAGGCCAGGCACAGCTTGCTAAAAGGTGAGGGCCAACCTTGCAGCCTTTCCACTATTCTTATCTACCTAGCTGGCTCCCTTAAAAGCAAAGTATAATAATGTCCCAAAAGAATAATCATCACAACTGCTTATGGTAGTGTTTCAGGAAAAGAAGAGTCTATAGGGGGCTTATCCACCTTGGGAATGATCCGACTGGGGCAGTACTGTTATCTAGAATGTTTCTAATGTGCCCTTCCCCTCCCCTTTGGCCTGTCACCAAGTCAACAGATGTATGTTTAGGAATAACATGCCTTCTCAATAGGCACCTGAGCAAGATGGAAACAGGTGAGTACATCTGCAGGTGCCTAATGGGTCCCAAAAGCAAGTGCCAAATGACTTAAGGATTAGGCCCAATTAACAAGTGATAAGATATGCACAGGTAAAAGTGGACTTGTATTTAGTGTTAGTATAGCTTTCTAGAAAGAGGAAGTATCTATCTTTATTTCTTCCTTATTTCTTTCTTTTTTTGTGTGTGTGAAGACTTTTATTTATTTAGGAAAATAAAGCTAAAGAAGACAATCGGATCAATTAATAAACAAATGACTGATATGAAATCAATGAAGAATAAAATTGCAATATAAGTACTGAATACTTTTCAGAGCTTTTCAAAATTTATAATAAAACTAAGTCCCAACTTTAAAAATCCTAATGAAATTAAAAATAATGTATCTAAGACCAATCTGGAGGCATGTACACCATGACCCTGTGTATTAAGTAGGATGCATTGGAATATTAATTCCTGAAAAACAGGATTATCTAGTCTTAGTCTAACTTATTGTGCTGATCCTGCAAGTGCTTGGCAGAGTGCTCTAAGGGAGAAACCACTTTAAGCTAAAGTGTCCTGAGGTTTTGGGTCATGGGCAGCCATTAAGGTCGCACTGATGGAGGTTTGTACAAAGCTTCATGCCATGTGACCCTCTTGTATCTGCTACCTTTTCTTAAAGGAGAATGAAACTTTGTTCTAGGCCACAGAATACCAAGGCCAGCTTCCAAAGAGCATGGCACTGTTTCTGATGTTGTGTTGCTGAAAGAAGACACTCTTTAAAATCTACCAGCATCTACTTTTGTAATAGAGTCCAAAGAAAGATACATTTCCGTGGCTCCACTATTATAAAAGAGCGTTTCTTCCCTCAGTTTGGTGTGGGAATTTCCTATAAGATGAAAATGAAATGAGCATACATGTACACATCTAGGTATAGACCAAAATAAACCAAAGCACTTAAAAAAAAAATCTCACCTAGGTTTGATTAAAAAAAAAACAAAAGTACAGTAAAAAAGGAAAAAATACCTTTGCAAATATAGTCTTGACATAAATTGGCAGGTCTCCATGGGGACTTCCATAACCCCCTACAATACTAAACCCCAATCCTTCAGAGCCTTTCTCCAAAGTAATAATCTTAGGTGGAGGTGTTCTGAAAACACAATGCATGCTGTTTAATTCAAGGATATTGAGAAGGAATTTCATTTTCATGGAAGAACACAGATTTGAGAGAGACTTTCATACTGCGAAACTATTACAGTCAAATCAAACTCTGAAAGAGCAATTAGATACATTTTTAAATTTCCCATGTCATGCTGGACTAATGACCAATGGTCTTGATGTTTTAGGGGTTTCTCTTTCATAAAATCCAAGGTTTTTTATTTACAAATAAAGTCATGATGCTGAAATGGTCAAAGAATCCTTCTATATGCTTAGTTTTGAGCTCTTAAATTGACTGTTTAAAACTGAGTGGAACTTTACATCCTTAAAGAGTGTGAATGGAGAAGGGAGGTGGTATCGCCTTAGCTTGGCGTGCCAGTCTGCAGGGCTTGTGTCCTGACCCGGGGACGGCAGCCTGACAGCTCAGCAAACTGAGGTTCTTTTTCTGCCTGAACACCCTCACACGCCTGCTCCACCACTTCCATCTAAGGTGGGGCTCATTCTTCAAAACCCACCTCCCATGACTCCCTTGGGAGGGTTAGCCATGCCTTCTCCATGCTCCCTTAGCACTTGGCCCGGATTTCCATTATGGCCCTTGTTATAGTGTTGTGTTTACTTAGCCAATGTCTCCTCTACTAGACCATGAACTCCTTAAGTCTTAATCATCAATTAAGATGCACTATGCACTGGGCCCGTCACAAACTCAGGATCATGACTGTAAACGAGAACTGAAATCCAGGCAAGAAGAGAGAAACCGAGGTAAAGCAAAATGTTTGATAAAGGCAATCTGTTTCAAATGCATCGTTTCGATTTTCAAAGCTTCGTCCAGTGTGGAAGTCATCTCTCTCAGAAACAACATGGCTAAACATTAAATTACCTATGTGGGCTCAAAGATTTAAATCTAAGTTTAACTAATCCCCATTTCTTATTCCCAGACGTGGTTGTCCGAGGGGTAAAATCCTGTAGGAACTCTGCCCCCCAGACCCTGTCATCTCATTTGCAGCCGGAGGCTCGTATTTGTCCACTGGCAGCATCACATGTTCTGTGCAGCGTGCTGCCTGAGGGCCGAGCCAGGCATGTAAACTCGGCCATCACATGTTCAGGAAAAGTTGCACAACTGGGATAGAAGCAACCCTTGAATATGCTGTTCTGTCTGACTAGTCTTCTCTCTCCCCTTTCCCCATTTTGCTTGGCTTATTTCAGGCCTGATTCTCAGCTGCCCCACACCGATACCAGTTGTTTGGTGAGGTCCTTGCTGGCTGCTGACAGCAGGCATCCACATAACTGCCGAATGGCTCTGCCGTATAAACTGTTGGCTGTTCTGAACGCCACTCCTGCTTTTTCCAATTTCTTTAAAACTCGGCTTCTGCATTACCACCTCCAAGTACACTCCCTAATTGAGTTATGCCCCTTCTCATGGTTTCACGGGCTCCTGGGCTTACTTATCTCTCTCAGGGAGCTTGGCTTTCCTACACTTGTCCCCTCTTTTACAACCATGGATTTCTGGGTCTGTTTTCCCAGTTCTCCGGCAGGCCCTTGGGGACTGGGCAATGCCTTCACCTACGTTTCTAAGGCTGAACCCTCAGGACCTAGCACTTGTACAGTGGGTAGCCTTAGGAAGGCACTCAATAAATATCTGCTGAAATGATGATGAATTGTCCCCTGTGGCTGAATGGTAATGACGTCACGAATAAGGCTCTACCTTTCATCACTTTGTGGCCTAATGAGGACTCTCAGCAATGACCCACTGGCTAGACACAAACTTGGTTTATGTTTCCTCTTTCAAACACAGGCCCCCCATTTCCAAGAATATTGAAATGGGAACCCAGATGTCCAAAGCCATTGTTTTAGAACTAGTCCCTGGGGCCCCCCAAATCATTAGGGACCTTTATCATCTTGTCTGTTCACACTTAGAGACCAGTTTTGGGGGAGAGAGAGGGCAATGTCAGATGGAGTGTGCCTCCATTTATCTCGTATTTTCAATTAGTTGTAAGTTTTTGTGTAGAAGACTAGTAAAAAAAAAATCTCTGAATGTTAACAGTTGTTGGATTATAAGTAATTTAAATTCTCTTAAACTAGTGGCTCTCAACCTATCAGGAGCTGTGCAGCTGTGGAATCATGAAAAAAAAAAGACACATCAAAAATGCTAAATGTATACTAATTTCTCTTCCTATAAGGGTACTGACTTTTTTGTTTTTTAAGAAAAGAGTCATTTTAACTTGAAAATGTTATATTTTCATGTATTTGTCATATTTTAAAAGCTTGTATTTTATTACTTTCATAATGAGAAAATAGTAAAATGAACTTAGTTTAATATTCTTCCCTCAAGAAAAACAAATCCCAAGATGTCATTTAAGTTGATGAAATACCAGGAAACAGTTGGGAGTGGCGGTGATCACCAGATCCTTCCAATAAACCGTTCAGATTAGTTAACAAATATTTATTGAGCACCTACTAGTGACCAGGCACTGGTAGTACCGAGAGGAATAACTTTAGACAGCATTTCTCAAAGTACGAATCCTCTGCCTGTAGGCAACTCTCCCCGGAGAAGCCACTGCAGACCATCCACTCAGAATCTCTGAGCACAGGGCCAGGGAAATTAGCATGTTTAAATATGCTCTTTGGATTATTTTTATGCACATCCTAGTTTGAGAAACACTGCCTTAATGAGCCATGTTCACTGCAATGGATGGTTTTAATTAAGGACGCCAGCAAGCATTGCAAGATTTTGCTTAGAAAATGGAGGAAACCTGGTTCCTTGCATAATCAAGCAGGGCGCAGCTGGGCTGTAAATCTGCGGTTTCTTCGGGGAGAAGGTGTAGGCACGTGTCAGTGCCCAGGCGCCTGCAACCAGTCTGTTAGGAGCCTAGCCAGTGGAACAGCGCTGCGAGAAATAAGGAAACCCTGGTGCTCTCTGGGAGATGTTCTACGAGCTAGAGAAGTAACGCACACCTCACCCCCTCCTCTTTAGGAAGTATGCTCTAGAATCTGGAAAAGTTCTCACTGAGCTTTGCCCACACACATAATAGGCACTCTGCCTTTAGAACACTCACTCTGTGTCTTCCGAATGGTGCTCAGCCGAGGGTGAGCCCAGGTGGTAGCTCGCAGACAAGCTCTCAAGCTGAGTCGCTATGGCGCTTATATTGGTATCTGCTACAACCTGGGGGAAAAGTGAGAACAAAGCAACCCATTACAAGTCAGGGAGAAATAGAGAAAGCATAGTATATCTAATGGTCAGTTCTCAGTCCTCATCTTATTCAACCTATCTGCAGCATTTCACACAGTGGATTACTGTCAATTTATTTTCACTTGGCTTCCCTGAACCTGCACTCAGGCTCCCTTTCCACCTTCTGTGTGTTCCTTCACACCCCAAACCTCCCTCTGTGTCGGAGTGCCCCAGGGCTCAGTCCTTGAGCTTCTTATCTTCCCCATCTCAACATAGCCCCATCTGTATGATGACAATTCCCAAGTCTGTATCTCCAGTGCCACCTCTTCATTAACTCCAGATATATCTGTCCAATCACAATTTGCCATTCCCAGTGGGATGTCCAGCAGGTATGTCAGACCTGCCATGCCCACACCAAGCCCCCACCTCCACTGTCCCTGCAGCATTCTTCATCTCAGGCAGCTGCCGCTCATCCATCCTTCCAGTTTCGGCGAACACCCCGGTGTCACCCTTGCCTACTCGTTCTGTCACAACCCACATGCAATCCTCCTAAAATCTACTGGTCTTTCTACATTTCTCTTGCCTGGAGTTCTACAGGAGCCTCCCCATTGGTCTCCTTGCTTCAGCCCCTCTGCCACGCAGTGTATAGCAGATAGAACGGTCCTGTTAAAATACAGATGATTGCCCTGGGCAGTGTAGCTCAGTTGGCTGGGCACTGTCCCATGCACCAAAAGGTTGCTGGTTCGATTCCCGGTCAGGGCACATGCCTGGGTTGTGGTCTCTATCCCTGGGAGGGGGTGTGCAGGAGGCAGCCGATCAATATTTGTCACTCACATTGATGTTTCTCTCTCCCTCTCCCTTGCTCTCTCTAAAAAGCAATAAAAAAAATTTAAAACAAAACACAGCAGATTATTTTACTCCTCTGCTTAGTATTGCCCAAAGGAAACCCAACTCCCCTGGATCACTTGCTGAAGTCCTTACTACAAGGTCATCTGTAGGTGATCTGCTCAGTTATATCTCTGCCCGGATCTCCAAACATCCTCCTCTGTTCCAGCCATGCCGGCCTCCTTGCTGCACCTGAGTCGGCAGTGGCGGTGCCTTCTGCCAGGAGTGCTGGGCGGCTAGCTCCACTTCCCTCAGGTGCTTCCTCAGGTCACCTTCGCTGGCCGCTCGCACTGAAATGTCCACACCAACACCTGCCCAACCTTTCATATCCTCCACTGCCTTGCTTCCTTTTACCACATTACTATCTAATGCACTGTGTGTATTTCACCTTATTTATCATCTATCACTTCATGTCAGAAGGTGTGGGCAGGAAGTTTGTTTTGTTAACTACTGTATCTGCATTATGAAAAACAGTGTCCAGAATATATTAGATGTTTAATTAATATTTGAATGAAAGAGTGAATATCTCTCTGATTTGCCTTCCAATTTTTTAATGTATTGATTTGAGAGAGAGGAGAGGAGAGAGAAAGTGAAACATTGATTTGTTGTTCCACTTATTTATGCATTTATTGGTTGATTCTTGTATGTGCCCTGACCAGGGACAGAACCCACAACCTTGGCATATTGGGACGATGCTCTAACCAACTGATCTACCCAGTTAGGGCCTTATTTGCCTTTTAGATGGTCCCAAAGGTATAGTAGAATAACAACATTTAAACATTCACTTTGTATTTCTATCCTGCAAGAAACATTCCAAAGCATTCAGAAGAAATATGGTACAGCTCCGACAGCCCATACTAGGACACAGGAAGGGGTTCTGGTGTTTGTTCAGTTACTCCCATGTAAATGATACTGTGCCGAGTTTTAGCTTCCTCATCTGTCAAATGGGAACCATAAAGCCAGCGCTGTCTGCTTCCGCCTCAGCGAGTTATCAGAGCTTCTTTCTCAAGAGCTCCTGCTTCTGCTCAGTGGTCCTCCTTCTAGGCTATAATTCTCGGTGCGCAAACAGAGTGAAGGGGCTTAGCCTGACAGCAGTGAAAGGAGCTTGACTCGACTGCAGTTTCGGAATAAACCAACAGAGGGCACAGCTGCCTAAACCTGTAAGCTCAGTTGAATCTGTTAATATTTCAAAGGAAAGCAAGTGACTGGGCAACCCTGGCCCCAGCTACCGCTGGACCAAAACACATTTTAGGTGAAGCCTTCTACTCTAGGGGAAAACATTGCTAAGTGGAAATACCATATATAAAGAATGACTAACAAACTGGGGGAGTATTTAGAATAAGAGACAAAGAGGAAATGACAGATTCTCCCTGACCTCAAGCGTCTCTCCACAGACCACCAGCCCTTTTTACTGTCCCCCGCAGCAAGTGTTTTGGAATTGTCTTTGCATGTGACCTCTGTAACCTTACTTACTCTTAACCTACACCATCTTCATAAACCCGCTCCATTCCGGCTTCCATCCCCATCACCTGGCCCCAGCGTCCACCGCCTGCCTCTCTGGCTTTGCTCACTTTTCAAGTCTTTGTTATTCTACTCACCCCTGTGGCTCAGTTCTGGGCCCACTTCCCACTTGCACACTTAGGGTCTAGGTGACAGTGTACATATTCCCATAGCTTTAAATGCCAACAACATGCTGACAATTTCCAGCCTAGTCATTATATCTCGTTGCCAATTGAACATCTGCATTTTAATATCTCAAGGGGTTATTAAAATTAATACAACCAAATTGAAACTCTTGATCCAACGACTGAATCCCTTCGATTCATTTCCCCTCTAGTTTCCCACCTTTAAGTGGATGGCCCCTCCAGCTGTCTAATTAGAAATCCACTAGTTATAATATTGAGCATCCTTGATTGCTGGCTGGTGACTTCCAGCTGGAAAAGCTAGGATGCTAACCATACTCAGGCTACTCTCTGAATATCACCTGATCCTTCCCTCTCTCACCGGACCTATGTAATCCATCAGCAAGTCCTCTGCAGTCTACCTCCAAAACACTTCTTAAATCGACTTACTTTTCATCTCTATGGTGACTATCCTACTTCAGTTAAATTATCAGCTGCCTTTTAACTGGAATCCCCACTCATTTTCTTCCAATCTCTCTTCCACAGAACAGCCATTTATCTTTTAAAATATAAAATGAGAGCGCAAATGGATAATGCCATTCCCCCGCTTAAAACCTTTCAGTAGTCTCTCTTAGTACTTGGCATAAAATTCACACTCCTTAATTATATACACAAAGCTCCTCCCCTTGCTACCTGTCTAATCCCATCCATCTCCTTCCTTTCCATCCCACATTCCACAATTTTCTCCGCCTGGAACCCAGCCTCTCTCTCCACACACTCCTTCTCCCCAAATCAGCTGGCCTGGTTAAAGTCACTCCCCTCAGACAAGCCTTCTCTGGCTACAATGTTTACATTAGCTTCTCTGTTCCTCTCCACAGCACTCCTGAAGTATCCCTCACAAACTGTCATGCATCTGTGTGACCACGGTTCCCACCCAGTCACAGGACTCTGAGGATAGGGCTGCTTCTCAGTGTTAATGTGCCTGGCATCTGATCACCTAATGATCATCTCTGGAGTGATCAATGAATCTAAAGCCTTCCTAAAGAAAAGGGATTATGACACTCAGTTTTGTTTTTTTTCCCCCTCGCTCGAAGACATTTTTGCATGTATCTTCAGATAGAGAAGGAAAGGGAGAGGGAGGAAGAGAGAGAAAGAGACACACATGGACTGGTTGCCATCCACAAGACCCCAAATGGGGCTGGGGACAAATTGCAACTGAGGCCCATGCCCTTAGAGGGAACTGAACCCGGATCTCTCTGGTCCGCGGGCTGATGCTCTAACCGCTGAGCCAAACTGGCCAGGGCAGCACTCAGTTTTCTGAATTTCCACAGAACACGTGAGACTGATAGAGGTAACAAGACGACTAGTTTTAGGTCCTTTTAAGAAGGGAAAAAATGTAATAATAGAGGCAGTTACAAAATGGAACGGCACTTTAGCACCCACCAAAGCAAAGACGGACATGTACTCTCAACTGGCTGAGAAAAGAACCTTCTGTTACGAGGCTGAGGAAGCAAGTCAGTAAAATGCTGTTTCTTTTTTTAATTTTTAATTTAATTTTTTATTTATTGATGTTAGAGAGAGAGAGGAAGGGAGAGAGAGATAGAAACATTGATGAGAGAGAACATCAATTGGCTACCTCCTGCATGCCCCTTACTGGGGATTAGTCCCACAACCTGGGCATGTGCCCTGACCAGGAATTGAACCAGCGATCTCTTGGTACATGGGTCGACACCCAACCACTGAGCCACACCAGTTGGGCAAATGCTGTTTCTTTCTAAGGTACCTTTCAAAGCCAAGATCTGATGGCAACCTGCTCATTTCTTTACCTGTTTAGTCAATATATTACAGCAGCACTACAAAGCTGAGCACTTGCTCTATGCTAAATACTTGTCTGAGTCCTACAGAGGTGGGTGCCATTATTATTCCCATTTCACAGACACCCGGAGTGGAGAGGTTAAGTAACTGTCCAAACGTCAGTTAGGAAGTGAAGGCTGGATACAAATCCACACCATTTCACTCTAGAATCTTGTGCTCTTAATCAGGCAAAGTTCCTGGTGCGAGGGCAGAGTTGCAGTGTGGGGGGGGGGAGGGAGAGGGGCAGAGACAGTCCAACAGCAGACGCACGTGCAGCAGGTGGTCAGTATGGCATGTGCTTGGTAACAGGCAGGAAAACATATCCCACTGCCCCATACCACACAGAGAGGGTGTGGGAGACAGACACCCCACAGATGTTACAGAAGGAAAGCTTTTTAATTTTTAGAAAGAGAATAAACTTTCAAGAGTCCATGAAATCAGCCATATAAATTATGAAGCCAAAGTGATAGTTCTATTTGGGTAAAACTTAAAAAAAAAAAAAAATCTAGCTAGAAAATGTAAAAACATTTCTACAACATCATCTTGCAAAAAAATTCACATCCCTCTAAAATATAAAGGCCTCTAGCTCACCTCAGAACCCCTAAATAAAAAGGGCCTCCCAAACACTGGTAT